AAATCTGTGCCATGCTCAATTTCAATGTCATTTAAAGAGCTACCTGATTCTTCTATATCGCTAACTTCAATGTCTACCTCGTTATACCATGCTAACAGTGTTTCTTCATAGTTTTTATCGTCGTAGTGTATTGTTTTGAATGGACCTGAAATTTTTGTAAAACTTTCACAAACCCTGACGTTGTGCCAAAATTATTCCTTTCAAATTGTCTTTATATAGTTATAAAATTAATAGAACACTAATGGACAACTAATCAATAAGTGAAACGATCGATGTCACTGTGACTTGAAGGTAGCTAAAGTCAAAAACACATAATAAAAAAAATTGCGCGTAATTTGAATTTAGCCTAAGGTTTCTGTTGGTACTATCAACTGTTACTTTTTCGTTAAAAAAGTTACATAATAATACAAGAAACTCAAGATAGTTAGAATATTTTTTTAAATCTTTTTAATATATATTATTATAATGTACATTTCATTACTCATTAATGAATGTTTAATTTTAATAAATATTTTGTGTAGTCTCTATTTTAAATACGTTTAAATCGAAATGGAATAACTTAATGGTTAGTATTTTGTTCTTTCTGCATATATATTATTTATTTGCACATTTTGTTTTATTTTCAATCCAGATAATCAATTGCAAGGAGGGCTTAGGTAATACGATAGTTCTCATATATTTCATTGGATATGGCTTTATTGATATTTTTTACGATACTTAATTACAATATTTGATTATTTTATTTGATTACATTATTCGATTACTTTGTGATTTTAATGATAGTTGATATTTTGAATATATTTTTGATATAGTGAATCTTACCATTTTTTATTTTAATGATGCTTGCATTTTTCTCTTTGTTTGGAGAATATCTCATATCCGTTTTTTTTTTGATTCACACATCCATGTTATAGGGAAAAGATTTTATCCTATAACATGGGTCTCGAAATTCATTAAAAACTCTCTTACATTTTGATATGTTGATTACACACATTCATGTTATAGGGAAAATATTTTATCCTATAACATGGGTCTCGAAATTCATTAAAAACTCTCTTACATTTTGATATGTTGATTACGCCGTCACAGCGAAAAATAAAATATAAATGAAAAGGTATGCCTTTTTAGAGAAAAAACTCTCAAATATACTAAGGTACCGTGTTTTCTGGATAGTCAGAAAAAAAACAAACGTCATTTTTTGATAGTGCTAAAACGGTGAAGTCTTTAAAAGGCTTCTGCGGCTTGTTTGAATATTTGTAAACATTTACAAACAACAAGTAAAGAAACAGAACTTTACTTGATCTAATGACAAGTTAGTCAACACAATAGGTGGTTAATCTTAACTGGAATTTTATTAGTACGAGCAAGCGAACAATTTTTTACAAAAGTTAAAGTTATGCACTGAAAGTTTTTATAAAATTTATTAAATTTAAGATTATGAAAAGGTTGCCAATATGAGTTCATAATACTAATGAGTCAATACTCATCAGTCAAGTAGTTTTTTTTTTTAATAAAGTTGGTAAATTTTATGCTACAGGTTTCAGGGTTTACAATATTTGCCCCATCATGGTATTTTTATATGTATTAAAAACTAAAAGCTAACAAAACATAAAATAAGCAATAAACGACTAAAACACAATAAATAACACTAAATAATAACACATTAAATGAGCAGCTATAACATGATTGAGAGGAGTTTGACACACCAAGTATTGTATTGAGACATTAGTGCCATTGGACATCATCAAACTGATGGAAGCTGCACTATCTGTCTGTCAGTCAGCTATCTGTATAGGGTTTAATAGAGTTAGTTAGTTAAATTGAATTTAATTTTAATTTAATCTGCGACGAAACAAATACTACTTACATGTCATATTCAATACTCCGCCATATTTTTTCTGTGTCTACGTATTCTTTACCACCTCCCATTTATAACGCTACCATGCACGTTGTTGTACGTTGAACCCTTTAGATATTACCTTGTACGTTGTTGTACGTTGAGTAGTTTAGAGGTTACAAGCTTAGTAACGTCTAAACTATAAACATACGATATAGCGCCGGTTTGGCAATGTCTTATTGGTTGTTTTCTATCTCAACGTGTTCCCCGTCCCCTCTGCTTTCCAACTTTCTAACGATACCTTAGACGTCAAGATTCGACGAGCCGTTTTACCCCCACCACAAAATGAGACAAAATGACCTTAGAATTTCTTATGGAGATTTATATGGGAAAATGACCTGTTTTGCTCTAGTAGCCGTACTGTCCCTTTACTTATATCGATAACCACAAAGTCATATTTAATTTTATTAAAGCTGAATATCAAGAATATATTTATATTTAATTTGATTTAAAGATTATCTTGAAATGCAGAAGTATTGTATGTATTTTTTAAGGGGAAAGGTGATTCTCAGAAGTTCCTTAGTTTATAGAACTTTTCTGTATCTGACTGTAAGTAGTATTTTAAAAAATTTATTCCAAATCTTTTATAAAAGGTATATAATAAAATGCCAAACGGGCTATCACAAATATATTACAAAACATTTTCGGATTGTTACATCCATCATCAGTGTAAACGAGGTATACATGCTATGAGCCACCAAAATATATGGGTCAAAACCCTTTAAATGATATAAATTTACAGTTGTTTTACAATATATGTGGTTACAAATTATGATGTTTAAGTTACCGTTGCAATTGGTAACATGGCGACGTATGACCCTACATGGGTAAAATGGTCCAGAGACGAAGTGTCTTCGAGGTCCTGTTGATAACAACAAAGAGTTGTTATTAACAGGTCCTCGAGTATTATGGACTCACGTTGGCAACCTTTTCATAATTTTAAATTTAATTAATTTTATAAAAAAATTCAGTACATAACTTTAACTTTTGTAAAAATTTGTTCGCTTGCTCGTACTAATAAAATTCCAGTTAAGATTAACCACCTATTGTGTTCACTAACTTGTCATTAGATCAAGTAAAGTTCTGTTTCTTTACTTGTTGTTTGTAAATGTTTGCAAATATTCAAACAAGCCGCAGAAGCCTTTTAAAGACTTCACCGTTGTAGCACTATCAAAAATGACGTTTCATTTTTTTCTGACTATCCAGAAAACACGGTACCTTAGTATATTTGAGAGTTTTTTCTCTTAAAAAGTCATACCTTTTCATTTATATTTTTTTTTTTCGCTGTGACGGCGTAATCAACATATCAAAATATAAGAGAGTTTTTAATGAATTTTGAGACCCATGTTATAGGATAAAATCTTTTTTATACGTTTTATTTCTTTATGTATTTGTATCATCTGCTTTTTGGTATATTTGACTTTGTATTTTCTTTATCTAATTAAGGTCTAAGCCTGTTCCCAGGAATTTTTAGGTTATGCCCTGATTGAGAACCCATTGTTACCTGTTGTCACTGCCTGGTTGTTCCAATTTACATTCATTTTCATTATGATTGAGAGTTCAAGTCTGCCAAATCTAAGTATGGAGACCCCCTTTTATTCAAGATTCGGATGGTTCCGAGTTCAACATCTAGTTGGTCTGCTTAATAGCTTCATCTTTATATATTATATTTATTGTAAGTCATTTTTCTTTCATTCTCAGCCGATTTAATCAATAGTACTCTCCAGTTAAGAAAAAATTGATGATCAATATATCACTGTATAAAGAGAAAGTGGATATTCAGGACTGTAAGAACTATAGAAGTGTTCAATTTTTCACATGTCATGTTTTCGCTGTATTAAATCATATCATGACGCAAATGTGTTCTATCTCGTGTGCGAAGAACGCACGAAGTACAACTGCAAGTGAAAGCCTGTAAATACCGCGTCTGTTTGCAGAAGAAATATTGGTAAGTCCTCATACACTAAAAGTATATTTCATAATTTCACATATTTACACCCTCTTTTGTACAAGAAGCATAAAGTCAATGTCACATTAAATAAAAATTTGGGACAGAACTGCAGAGCAAAGGTTAAGAAGATAGACATCGATAGAAGAAAAACAGTTTTAGTTTATGCCATGAAGGAAGACAACGAATGCCTTGTTTCCTTTACGACAGTTAATAGAGAAATACGGCGAGAGAAAGCGAGAGCTTAATTTGGTATTTATATATCTTAAGGCATACGACACAGTTCGTAAACAAGAGCGAATGAACCATAAAGATTTATGAGAGAGAAATACGTTCCTGAAAAGTAAGTAAGACTCATGGAGGATATATGTAAGAGGGCATACACCAACAAGCTAATATATGGAGTTAGAAGGAATATAAATACAACGGGAAATGGTGAAGAGCTCAAAGGAAATATAGGCGGTAAAGTGTGGCTTGTAAAGAGGGTTAAGCAAATTGGAGGTAGCTGAGCCGAAAATTTTATAGTAAATGTTGAGTAAAAATAAAAGAAACAAGATCAGAAATAACGTCATTACGAAAAGACTGTGGTCTACGGAAGGACTGTGAAGCAAAGGACTTAAGGTAGGAAGGTTTAAATAAAGAAGACACGATAAACAGAAATGAGTGACGAAGAAGAGGAAAACCCCTGCAAAAAGAAAAGCTAGAAAAGAAGAAATCATTTTATTTAAAATATATTCGAGTAGTATCGTTTAGGATACGATATATCATAGTAGTAGTGCTTAAACCTTCTTTTCTTCCATTATATTTTTTTAACACAGTTTAAGTTTCCTCATATGCCTGCATTTTTCGGGAAAAACTTAGTGACACTTAATTTGCAGTTTCTGCCAATTCAGAATGGGTTAAAGTCAAATATTTGTCAATATCTATCTTTAATAATAAAAATTGTTACTAAACAACCAATAGATAAATAACTCTAACAAATAATTCACAACTTAATATTTTGAATTTCAATTTTTATATATTGCGTTTTGAATATACTAAATAAGTATTTTTGGTTGCCTATACTTAAATGTGGCTTTAATAGTAAATTATTAAAAATAAAGACATCATGATTTTGTGTACATCAAATTATGTTGTAAATGAATAGTCGACGAAAAATAATAATTAATATTCAACAACTAAGTATAATGAAATATTTTATTTCTGAAGATACAACAATTGAAATGTTATGTTTTTTAATTCCATGTCCATAGAGAAAGTTTTACTCCATCAAGATTGGGGAGTTCTTACTTGGAGGTGAATTCTTATTTATCTCTACTTGAATTTCATTCAAACTTTTGCCTTTGGTTTCAGGATAAAAATATTTTACTAAAATAACCAATGAAATAGCAACAGCTATTGAAACTATAATATTAAGGTATGGTCCAGGTCCTGTATTATTGATCCATAACATAACAATTGGCAAGAATAATGTCAAAATGAAATGAAAAACCATCGAGATGCCTGCACACATCATTTTGTTTCTTAATGGAAAAAGCTCTCCCAATAAAACGAATGGTATTGGTCCAACTCCAATATCAACTGCTAAATATGATATTAACGATGCTACAAAAAATAAGTATGGAGATACGTGGATATTGTATCTACTCAACAGTACAAGAATATACAAAAATATAAATGTGATAGTCATCCATATAACAGAGACCAAAAGTGGTAATTTCCTTCCACATTTATCAATAATAAAAAGTATCAAAAAGGAAGATAATAGATGGACAGCACCTAAAAATGAAAACTTAATTAGTATATTAATATAAACCAAAATTTTGTTTATTTGAGACAAACAGCAAATTTTATTCTTCTCTTACCATAGCCAATTTAAAACTAGTTGGCTCCTACATGCAAGTTTATAAGAAAGGTATAGTATAGTGAAAGAATAAGCAATGTCACATTTTTTTATTTGACTACCTGGAAATGATATTTTGTACTGTAAACATTTTACAAGATCATTAAGTATTTTAAAAATAACATGAAATGTAGAGACAGTACAGGAAAAATAGCATTTTTTAAAAACACGTAGCGAATTTGAGTAGGTATGTCAATTATCACTAAAAAAACAAATTTATATTGTTAAAGAGAATTATGCAAAATATATGTAGTTGGCGTCAAAACTGAAAAATGGACAATCTTATATGATTGCTTACGACGCAATCTACTGTTATCATTAATATATTTTACTACATATTACATTGATGTTAGCCTCATTGTTCAGTATATAATAGACAACTTCGATAACATAAGTTATAAATTGTCAAACTGACTGTTAGGACATAATTCTTTTACATTATTTCTCTTTTATTTATAAAAGAAACAACAATGCACAGTTAAGGCGAAATAAGTGTTCCTCAGGACATCTCAAAAGCCATGTAGTATATATATATTATATATATATATATATTATATATATATATATTATATATATATATATATATATATTATATACTATATATATTATATATAATATTATATATATATATATATGTATATATCGCACCCTCAGTGCAAGACTGCAGTAACTCAAAATTTTGTGAAAATGAAGTAATCATGGAATTCGATCGTAAACATGCATATCTATCCCCTGTAAAACTTTGGTAACTTTCAATTGCATAACCGGCTAAATATTGCAAAAACATTAAAAAATTGGTTTTGTATTTTGAGAACGATTTCCGAAGTGGAAACTGAAACGTCAATAAACGTATTTTTATCTTTAATTGTGGCTTATTCCCAGTTAAATAGTAATTATTACCCATCTCAGTTTAGAACTAAGACAAAGAATCCGTAAGTGCTATGTTTGGACCGTATTTTTGTATAGTGCAGAAGTGTGGACGCTAAAAGTATCGATCATAAACAAAATTATGGCCTTGAAAATGTGGGTTCATAGACGAATGCTAAAGATACCTTGCACAGCAAGGAAAACTAATGAAGGAGTACTAAGAAGTCAATATAGATAGAGAACTGCTAAAGACTGTTAAACATCGAAAAATGACTTATCTGGGACCTATAGTAAGAGTAAGTCGATATAAAATATTACAACTGATCCTTAAAGACAAAATAGAGGGCCGTTGAGGTGTAGGAAGAAAACCAAGTTTCTTGGTTAAAAAACATTAGTGAATGGACTCAGATATCAAAAGGACAATTATTTCGTATATCAGAAGATCGAGAAGCCACCCAAGCCAATGGTAATCACCAACGTCGGATAATTCTGATCTGGCACGGATGGGTAATTAAAATATGTTTTTGATGGGTTGTAGTCAATAAAAGGGGCTATTCAATTGTGTTTACAATCTTTTTCAAAAGCTTCTAAAAAATACAAAATATCTTACAAAGTGAAACTAGAAAAATAAATTTTAGCTTATTTCTAGTTTTACTTTGAAAGATATTTTGTATTTTTTTAGAAGCTCTTGAAAATGAACAATAACAATTTCAATTAAACATAATTGAAAGCTTGACATAAAAAATAGTTAACCAATAGCCCCTTTTTTGACTCCAACCGATCAAAACATATTTATATATTTTTTTCAAACGAGTCGCAAGTACTTCTTTTTTCCTACTCTTATATATATATATATATATATATATATATATATATATATATATATTATATATATATAATTATATATATATATTATATATATATATATATAATATATTAATATATATATATATATATATATATATATATATATATATATATATAGTTATATGCATTGTACCAACCGATGTTCCTTATCACGACGATTCCCAGGTATCAGGTTTCACTTCCAACAACCTGAGCCGATAAGGATCCTTGCAAATGCAGTACCAGCAGAGTCAGCGGACCCAAGCTTTTATACACGTTCCCACTGAGTCAGCATTTAGTAATATTATAAAACCGCTTGTCGCTCTTAATTCAGTATTCATATATTTTTATAGTTCATTCATTATATTTTATATTTCATTCATTTTTTACCACGTAACTTGTATTTTGTAATTAATAAATTTTTAAAAAGTCAAAAAAGTGTTTCGTGATATAAAAAGTGGCGCAGTCGCAGTAGGATCTGGAAACGTTGGCAGAACAAGAGAACCTAACTGACAACGGTGGATTCCAATCCTTTAATCAGAAAAAGAACCAGAAAACTCCAAAAAGCAGTGCCGTCCTAACTTTGCAGACATCTACGGAAGGAACACCAAGTGAAGCCCCTGGTAGATTGGCTGTCGAGAACAAGACGACTAGATGTTTTTGGAACTAATGTAAGTCTAATACTGAATCATCTCGTATATAATTTTTGTTTTATACCATTTATTACCATATACTGTTAGATATTCCAATATAAAATATTCTTTTAATTAATAATTTTATGCCGAATTTGAATATTTTTTGATAATTACTTTAATAATTATAAACTTTTGGCGATTATTCTGTAAATCGTCAACTTTTTGTTTTCATTTTATTAAACGATTACCTGTGTCGATTATTCTGCTAATCAGACACTGTCTTAGAAAATACTTTTCCTATATTTTGACTTATTATTTTAATATTTACATTTTCGATTTATTATTTTGATATTTACATTTTTTTTTATTTGATATTTATATTTGATTAATTATTTAGTTAATTAATCCATTATCTTATATTTTTATTTCTATTTCGTTTATTGATTTATTAACCACCATGAATGATAACGGAAACATTTCTCGTCCCGCTTCTCGTAATGAGAACCAGCCTGAAATAGAACCTTATAAATTATCTGAAATATTTTCTATCGTACCCGAATTTGAAGGCGATCAAATATTTTTACACACATTTTTAAATGCTTGTGATTATGCCTACAATATGTCTACGCGCGATCAAAAACAACTATTAGTAATTCACATTAAAAATAAATTACGCGGAAGAGCAGCGCAACTTATAAGTTCAAGAAATCCATTATCGTATCTAGAAATTAAACAGCTTCTTACCTCTCATTTTGGAGACACTAGAGACTTATCTTCTTTGATACAAGATTTACAAAGAGTCAAACAACTTCCAAATGAATCGGCTCTTACATTCCTTAATCGTGTCCAAGTCCTTAATGCAAAAATGCACGCTAATATACAGAAATCTAGCCTCTCTGCTGTAGAAAAACAGGCCCAAATTGTATTAATTGAATCAATGGCGCTCAATACATTATTGACCGGCCTCGATCCAAAAATCGCTCATATTATTCGTGCTAGTAATCCAAAAGACCTTCTTGAAGCTCAAGTCCGCATCAGACGAGAGTTACAATTATCCTATTTCGAAATACAAAAAATCAATAGATCCAATCCTCCAAAACCCAATCAAAATAATCAACCCATTAGAAGACCAAACCTTCAACCACATAGATGCACATTTTGTGGACGTATGGGCCACTCATACAATGAATGTCGTTCTCGACAAAATTCCCAAAATAATTCGCAGAATTCCAACAACTCTCATAATTTTAACAATTCTCGAAATTTTAATAGCCATCAAAACTTCAATAAAACTCAAAGCAATGGCTTTCAGAGACCAACTTTCAGCTTAAATAATAATTTTCAAAACAATAGACACAATGACCAACAAAGACCTCAATTCACACCAAATCAAAATAATTCACAAGTACGACCTTCTGTAATCCATAAAAATCCTAATTTTTCAAACGATAGGCACAGAGCTTACTTAGTTAACTATGAGCCTGACTATATTAACGACTATACTTCAGCTTTAAATGAAAGCTACCAATACGAAGATTTCTCTGATAATAATTATTCACCTCCCGATTATTACCAGTCATTTGATCAATCAACCGATTTAATTGATAGCCAAGACTATCAGGATTTTCTCACAGTCCCGAATCAGAACCACCCACCAGACAATACCGGTTCAATGAACGAATCTTTGTCTCAAATACAAAATCAGATACAAACTCTGAATTTGGACGACATGAACCCATCTCTGAACTTTCCAGAACAGACTTTTCTTTAAGCCCTCTTCTTGCTGTAAACTCTAAAAACCTGTACTATATAAAAGACGCATCAAATACGTTTAAATTACTTATCGATACCGGTGCTGGTATCTCTATCTTTAAAGAAAATACCGTGAAAAATTTCAAACCACGTTTCCCCGAACAAATTACTATACAGGGTATTACAGACCAAAAAATTTTTGTCACTGAATCAACTTTAGTCCCGTTTCAAGTGGGAAACCCTCATAAAGTTTTCATTTATAATTTAGATATTGATTTCGATGGAATCTTAGGCCTCGATTTCTTAGAACATTACGAGTGTACGATAGACCTCAAAAACAAACAACTAATCACAAACTTTAAAACATTACCTCTCCACAAAGTAGAAACTAATTCGCGTAACAATGAACCCCCTAATCAAATTAAAATAGATCCCAGATCCGAACAAATATTCAAATTAAAATGTCATCTGTCGAATACAGATGCAATTTTGCACAGAAAAGAAAAAGAAAAAGTCCATATCCCCAACGCGTTAGTACACGTAAATAAAAAAGGAGAATTTCTGACATCCGTAGTAAACGCAAATGCAATTCCCAAAATTATTGACTTTTCCGATATAGTAATTGAACCCTATTCGAATTACCCTATCCTAAATTTCCAGTCAAACGATAACTTGGAAAATTATTGCCCTAATAAAATTGACCGTACAAACAAAATCAAATCTCAACTTCGAACAGAACATCTTAACGAGGAAGAACAAGAACTCATAACAAATCT